CAATAGCTGAGGGACATTTCAACCAAACAAAGAAAGAAACAGTTACATTTACATGATAAAATTAGAGTCCTAAACCTTCACACAAACTAGGTTTATACTAAAATAGAGCTACAAACAAGAAGAAAGTGACAAATCCTACTATGAAATAGAAACAAAATCACACATTACAACAATCAAAAGCCCAAACAAATAAAAGAACTCAAGCTATCATGTAAATATAGCCACAGAAACACACAACACAGGTGTAAGGACATCAAATTTGTAGCTGAAAAACTATTAGCAAGAGCAAATCCTGACAAAACAAATATCACAGGGAATTTTGGAATGAGTCATTAGGAAAAGTGGTGTTTGAAGTAAGAACCCACCTATTGGGAGCTCCGATCACGCCGCAAAGTTCGTCGTGCCGGCAGCGTCTGCCGATCGGAGATGGAGCGTCGGGGGATGATGATTGATGATATTTCTGCTCTTCACTATTCTGCCCTTATTATGGCCTTTTATTTCCTTGGGCCTTTCTTGTGTAAATGGTATGCTATAGTTTGGGCTTTTAGGTTAGACTTGCTTTCTAATTGAGTAAAATAGTTTTGGGCCTTGAAATCATTGGGTCTGGGTCAGTTTCATGATCCTCGTTTATGGGCCGAACCTGGTAGAGGGAGAGAGGCCTTTCATTCGCTAGCTGGCGGAGTTGGTATCGAGCAAAAGCATTGTAGCTTCAAAAATCTTAAGCGCAGCTTGTTTTGAGGATTTACCAAGGATTTGAAATTCATAGATTTTAAATTTATAAATTCAAATGTTCATGAATGTTGGAATGATAATGGAAGTTAGAGGATTTCAAATTCATGCAAGATGTTTTTTAGTCATTATTTTGAAGGATTTGAAATGACTCCTCAAACCCAGTCATTTGAAATCCACTGTTTATCACCGTTGACGACCACGCCGTCCGCGATCATTTAGGTTCATCACCACCGCGAGTCAACACAATCGGTGCGAGCTAGACAATTTGTTTATAATATTTTCAACACATCCATTCAATGAGTGTGCAAGTAAAAAAATTATATTTCAAAAATTTTGAAATCAAAGGATTTCAAATCCCTCAATACAAACGGAACTCTAGTGTATTTAATATAAATTTTTTAAGATGTTCAAAAATCTCGAATATTTATTGGAGATTTTTAAAAATCTTATAGAATCCTATATTTAATTATATTTGAGACTAAGATTTGTAAACACTTTTATTGGAATTTCAAAAGAAAAATCATATGCGGATCTCACTCCAAATCTCACCCTCAGATTTAAAATTTTATAAAATTTCTCCCAATTTCAATAATCTTAATAAGTCTCAAAATGTCACTCAAAATCTCAAATGAATACATTTAAACGCTTTGAAGTATTATATTTTTCAAACATAAAAAGAATTCAAACTTTACAATCAATTAACTCTAGCACAGATTTTTAATGTGATATGAACATTGACCAATATTGGTAAACACAGCTTAATATGCTCGTTGTTGATCTGTCTACATAAATTAATTCAGAGTGATAGGTGCTTATAAATTTTAAAACTAAATTAATATCATTAACAGTGATTGAATAAGTAATTGCTATAACATTAAATAAAAAGAATAAAGTGGAGCTGCTTTCGTTGAAGAAAAATGTATGACCTCTAAGAATAATACAGTACGGAGGCTCTACAATATACCAAATAAAAAAGGAAAAAACACAAAATCCCCAACATTTCTAACTCTAAGTAGAGAAGAAAATTAACTCAAAAACTCCACTACTTAAAAAAACAAAATTTAACCAAGTCAACTGAAGGGTAAAACAGTTCAGGAACGAAATTTCAATTCTCCATTGGAGGTCTGTATATTCTTTGATTTTCTTCTGCTTCCTCCTTCACCAAATCGCTCGTTCCATTCTTTCAGCTCGACCAAACTGCTCGACTCATTCGCAACCGAGGGCCCCACCTGCAAATTATTCATACAATAAATTAGAGAATAAGCCAAATGTTGTACCCATGTACTTGTTGATCAGTACTAACTTGATTTTTATTTTTCAAGTACAAAACATATGAATTTACATACCGTGGCCTTGGAATTAATAAAGTCTTCTAGCTTCAGTGGTCTTAATGCTGGAGCTCCATCCTTCTTCTCACCCTGTCGATCGATAATAACCACAAAATATGTTACATGACAAAACGCTAATTTGTGTTTTTAATGTTTTACGCATGCATAGTGTTTCACAATTATGTTTGTTGAAAGATCATATATAACAATAGCAAAAACAGAACTATCAATATCATATTCAATAACTCCATAATTTCAACGGTAATATATCATCCATTAACAGAAAAATCTTGATAGTTCTAGAATAGTGATAAGAAGAACATTATAGTGTTTACCTTGCTTTCTTGTTCAAGTAGTTCTTGGACAGGCTTATATGCAGCAGCCACACACAGATTCTGGCAAAGGTAAAAGGACAAATAATCACAAATCTTGGACATCAATAGGAATCACAATATCCATAGCCATTAATGCAAGATCGATGCAGAATTACCTTTAAGTCACTCCCAGAATACCCTTCAGTAGCCTCTGCGAGTTTTTTAATATCAAACCCAGATTCCAAAGCCTCTTTGGCAACAAGTATCTCCAGTATTTTCAATCTATTTTTCACATCTGGTAGGTCAACATGAATCCTACAAGCAATCAAGGATATTCTGTCAAGCTCAACATTCATGTCGATAAACTATAAAACAATATTGCAAAAGAGAAAAAATCAACCACGTTTCAAGAAAAGAAAAATGCCGAACAGAACAAAATCAACTATGTTTCAATGTCACATATGATGGTCCACCAACATTTACCTTCTTGGCATGCGGCGAATGACAGCATCATCAAGGTCAAAGGGCCTATTCGAAGCACCAAGAACAAGTATTCGTTGGCTGTCATTTGAAGTTAATCCATCCCAAGCTGACATAAACTCATTCCGCACTTTTCTGATTGCATCACTCTCATATTGACCACGAGCCCCAAGCAAAGCATCAATCTGCCCACAAAAGCATCAAATACAGGTTTTACATAATATATTAGATTATAATCCATGCATCACACGGCAGCGAGTGCAAAATTACAAATCAGAGAGAGAGAGAGAGAGAGGAATACAATGCAACAGCACTTACCTCATCCAAAAAAATAATTGTAGGAGCCAACTTGACAGCCAAGGTGAATAGTGCCTTCGTAAGTTTTTCGGATTCCCCATACCTATGTTGGATAGGTCAAGTAAAGGAAAGAATTGTTCCAAGGCATTTACTTGTTTGCTTCTCCTACCATAGATCCAAGGGATGAAGGAGTAACATTGATGAAATGGGCCCCTGCTTCGGTAGCTAGAGCCTTTGCTATAAGTGTTTTTCCAGTTCCCGGGGGACCAAAAAGCAGCATCCCTTTGCAAGGCTGAAAGAAAAAAAAAATTAAAAAAAAAATATTGTGAGCTTTACATTCAACAAGGTTTCTTTTTATATAACAGCATGCATATATTTTGCAGAGTTAAGAAAAGAAATCGTCCGATTTAATGCGAAATGTGAAATAAAATCTAGAGAGTTTAGCTAGCTACCCGCAACAAATTCCCGTGGGAGAAAAGCTCGGGCCTGCGCAATGGAAGAACCACCACTTCTTCCAGAATCCTCTTCACGTCTTCAAGGGCACCAACATCCTTAAACTCGACTCCAATCTCGTCAGGGCTAACGAGACTTGAAATGAAAGCTCTCTCGTAAGAATTCGTGGCAAGATTCTTCAGACAAGTCCTGTCCGTTCCTTCTCCCCCACCATATTGATCGTTCCAATCTTGCAGTTCCTTCAGGCTAGTCGAATCATAGGAAACTGATGGTCGCACCTGAAGGTATATATATGTTTTGTTTAATTTATATATTATATAATACTACGAATTTATTTTGCGTGTTACGGTTAACAGATTTACCTTGGTTTTTGAGTGAATGAAATCATCCAGCTTCAGTGGCCTCAGCTTTGGAACAGCATCAACTGGATCACAAACAAGTCCCTAATGAAACAATAATTGCATTTTAGACCCAGAGAATCTTTTGGAGAGATCAAAATTCAAATTGCAGGGGCAAACATTATGATTAAAAGTGATTTTTGGGATTAAAAGTTAAAAACTGTTGGTTCGAAAAACATGATTGCCTTGCTTTCTTCTTCTAGGAAGTCTTGGACAGGTATATATGCTGCAGCAACACAGAGGTTCTGTAGAAGAGAAGAAAACATTGAAAGAAAACAAAAATTTCAGACATTGATTAATTAAGAGTATCATTGTTCTGTAAGAATATGTGGCCCGAAAGCATTGGGCTCACATTTAATTCTCCTATTGGGCTAGGCCTTTAATTAATAGTCAAACAAATCTAAGCCATTAATCTGGATATTTGATGGACGTACCAGATCTAAAGCACCCCTATATAAATTAGTCCTCTCTCCTCCTATTAGGGTACGCAGTTATTATTCCATCACTTTTCTGCTACGTTAAGGAATCGGTCAGGAGGGAGAAACTAGTTTAGATCTAACGATCAATTCAACCTCGTGTGATCATCAAAATCAAGATCACAAATTATGTCGTCTTCCGCATCAAGTAAGTGTTTCGTATACACCAAATTATTTATTCAAGATCCTATGATGAAGCTTACATGTGGTATCAGAGAATGTGTTGTGGATAAATAATTTGTTTGTATGAATTTTAGAAGCATATTCCGTATGTATTTAATAATGAACCGGACAAATTAATCGCATGAATTTTGATGGGTTGCGAGTATTAATTTAGTCCCGTATGTCGGCCATGATTTTGCTGTTTGTTCTGTTTGAGTTCGCCGAACTCATTAGCTAAGAAATTGCTAGATCTGTTTACGGGCCTGATGATTGATTCTAATTGAATTATTCTGTGAGCAAATTAATGATGTTTGAAGTTTTATATGTATGAGATTCCTTATGAATTTATATTGGTACAATTTTGTGAGAGTCATGGCCCACGTATATGATGTATCAATGCTCAAATGGAAATGATTGAAAAACCTTTTATTGATATTTGTTTCTCTGCAAATATAATTGATGGCCCACAGTATATTTATTGGAGAATTTATGTTAATTTATGCAATTGAAATTATGAACATTATGTTCATGCTTTAGTCCATATTGTTTATGTTAATTGACCTTATGATGATCAAGCTTTTACGACTTCACGTCCCTACTGAAATACTACATTCAAATGGGTTTCATGATGTTTATTATATTATATGACATTAAGAGAAAATTAATTTGTTAGTCACCAAAGTGGCCTTATTAATTTTTAATGTTCGGTCATATAATTTTATCGTTATAACTGCTTGTTATATGACATTAAGACAAAATTAATTTGTTAGTCACCAAAGTGGCCTAATTAATTTTAATGTCCGGTCATATAACATTATTGTTACAATTGATTGTTATATGACATTAAGATAAAATTAATTTGTTAGTCACCAAAGTGGCCGGATTAATTTTTAATGTTTGGTCATATAACTTATGTTCTCTTGAGAATGTCATTATTCAAGATAATGAGTTTATTAGTTGTTAGAAATTATGGATTTACCCAAAGGTGAATCAATGTTCTATAACTAATAAACATTAAGGAGAAATATAATATCCTTTTGTCGAGCGTATGTAGATATCCAAAGATACTATGTATGTTAGACAAAGTTTATTTAATTTCTCATTAAGTGCTAAATGACATTCGACTTATGATAATGATATATATTGTGTGTTTACCCAAAGGAGACCTGCAATATATGTGATGAATGTATTTTCTGAATCTATTAATTAAGTGAGCGTTTATGATTGTGCAGCTATCTCTCTTCATTCGCAAGCTTCTTCTGTTACTGTCTTCAATGGTTTGAATTTCTCTGAATGGCGTGAGCAAGTCAATTTCCATTTAGGTGTTTTGGATATTGACTTGGCTCTGCTTGAAGAAAAGCCCGCTGACATTACTGATCAAAGCAGTGAGGCTGAGAAATCAAACCGTAAGGCTTGGGACAGGTCTAACAGATTATGTTTGAGCTTTATGCGAATGACGATTGCCAACAACATTAAGTCAACTCTTCCCGATAATGTGGATGCGAAAGCATACCTTTTGCTTGTGGAAGAGCGTTTTCGTTCCGCGGATAAGTCATTGGCAGGAACACTTATGGCTGAACTCACGACCAAAAAGTATGATGGGTCGCGAAGTATGCAGCAACATGTTCTTGACATGACTAATCTTGCAGCAAGGCTTAAGTCCCTGGGCATGACTGTTGATGACTCATTTCTGGTGCAATTTATGCTTAACTCGTTGCCTCCTGAATATGGGCCATTTCAAATTAACTATAACACTATTAAGGATAAGTGGGATGTTAATGAATTGGCCAGTAAGTTGGTTCAGGAGGAGACGAGGCTTAAGGCACAAGGAGTTCATACGGTCAACCTTGTGGGTCATGGAGCTAATAATGTTCTCAAACCGAAATCCAACAAGTTTAAGAAGAAAGGACCTGCTAAAGTTTCACAGGTCACTAATGATGAAAAGAAGGAAAATCAGGCAAATAAATGTTATTTCTGTAAGAAAGAAGGACACATACAGAAAGATTGCCTGAAACGCAAGTCTTGGTTTGAAAAGAAAGGTATTTCTAATATCTTTGTATGTTTCGAATCAAACTTGTCTGAAGTTCCTTCAAATACATGGTGGTTGGATTCTGGTGCTACAACTCATGTTTCTAATGTGATGCAGGGATTTCTTACAATCCAGAGCATAAACCCAAATGAGAACTTCTTGTTCATGGGGAACCGTATGAAGGCCCCAATTGAAGGCATAGGGACTTATCGTATTGTTTTAGATTCCGGGCACCACCTGGATCTTTTGCAAACTCTCTATGTACCTTCATCTTCTAGAAACTTAATGTCTCTTTCTAGACTTGATGTTCTTGGGTTTTCCTTTAAGTTTGGACATGGATGTTTCAGTTTGTTTGATAAACATGATTCCATTATTGGTTCTGGAATTCTTATGGATGGTTTATATAAACTGAAACTTGATGTTGATTTTTCTGCATCTTTAATGTGTGTTCATCAAAACATTGGAATTAAACGTGGTGTAGCAAATGAGAACTCTGCTTTCTTGTGGCATAAACGTTTGGGTCATGTATCCAAAGAAAGAATGCAAAGGTTGGTTAAAGATGAGATTCTTTCGAATCTAGATTTTACCGATCTTGGGTTGTGTGTGGATTGCATTAAGGGAAAGCAAACCAAACATAACAAGAAAGGAGCCACAAGAAGCAGTCAGCTTCTTGAAATTATACACACCGATATATGTGGACCTTTTGATGCTCCATCCTTCAATGGAGAAAAGTACTTCATTACCTTTATCGACGATTTTTCACGTTATGGTTATGTTTATCTGCTTAAGGAAAAATCTCAAGCTGCAAATGCACTTGAGGTTTTCATTAATGAAGTTGAAAGGCAGTTGGACAGAAAGGTGAAAATAGTAAGGTCTGATAGAGGTGGCGAATACTATGGAAGGTATGATGAATCGGGACAAAATCCCGGTCCATTTGCTAAGTTCCTCGAAAGACATGGCATATGTGCACAGTATACTATGCCAGGTACACCTCAACAAAACGGTGTAGCAGAAAGGCGAAATAGAACATTAATTGATATGGTTAGGAGTATGATAAGTAATACATTATTACCCAAATCTTTGTGGATGTATGCACTTAAGACTGCTGTGTATCTGCTAAATAGGGTTCCTAGTAAGTCAGTTCCTAAAACTCCTTTTGAGTTATGGACTGGAAGGAAACCTAGTTTGAGACACCTGCATGTTTGGGGTTGTCAAGCAGAAGCACGAGTATACAACCCACATGAAAAGAAATTGGATTCTCGAACTGTGAGTGGTTACTTTATTGGTTACCCAAAGAAGTCCAAAGGGTTTATGTTTTACTGTCCTAATCATAGTTCTAGAATCGTTGAAACGGGCAATGCTAGGTTTATTGAAAATGGTGAAGTTAGTGGGAGTGCTAAAGCGACTGTGGAAATTAATGAAATAAGGGTTGATGTTCCATTACCCATTAATGTTCCAATATCCACAGTTGTTCCAAATATTGTTCCACAACCTCATGAACAAAATAATGGTGGACAAAATTTGGATGAAGTAGTACCCCATGAAGAGACTACCTTCTCACCAACTAACACAAATGAACCACGTGGAATAGCATTAAGCAAACCTACAAGGGTGAGAAGATCTGCTATTTCGGATGATTATATGGTTTATTTGCAAGAGTTGGATTATGATACTAGCATTGATAAAGATCCTGTTTCGTTTTCACAAGCCATTAACAGTGACGAGTCTCATAAATGGATTGATGCTATGAAAGAAGAGTTAAACTCTATGGCTAAAAACAATGTTTGGGATATAGTAGAATTGCCAGAAAGTTCAAAACGAGTTGGGTGTAAATGGGTCTTTAAGACCAAACGCGACTCGAGTGGCAATATCGAACGACATAAAGCTAGACTTGTTGTCAAGGGTTATACTCAGAAAGATGGCATTGATTATAAGGAGACATTTTCACCTGTTTCTAAGAAGGATTCTTTAAGGATCATTATGGCTTTAGTAGCTCAGTATGATTTAGAGTTACATCAAATGGATGTGAAAACAGCCTTTCTTAATGGGGACTTAGATGAGGAAGTTTATATGGATCAACCCGAAGGGTTTTCCATAGAAGGAAAGGGTCACATGGTGTGTAAACTTAAGAAGTCAATATATGGACTTAAACAAGCTTCCAGACAATGGTATATTAAGTTTAATGATACCATCACGTCTTTTGGTTTTCAAGAAAACACTGTTGATCGGTGTATTTACCAGAAGATCAGTGGGAGTAAGTTTATATTTTTGGTTCTATATGTTGACGATATCCTACTTGCTGCTAATGATTTGGGAATTTTGCATGAGACTAAAGATTTTCTCTCAAAGAATTTTGAAATGAAAGATATGGGAGAGGCATCCTATGTGATTGGAATTTCTATATTCCGGGATAGATCACAAGGAATGTTGGGATTGTCTCAGAAAGCTTATATCGAGAAAATTCTTGAGAGATTTGGTATGAACAATTGTTCACCAAGTGTTGTCCCATTACAGAAAGGGGATAAGTTTAGTCTTATGCAATGCCCTAAGAATGATGTGGAACGAAAGAGTATGGAATCTATTCCATATGCTTCTGTTGTGGGCAGTTTGATGTACTTGCAAACTTGCACGAGGCCTGATATTAGCTTCGCTGTGGGAATGCTTGGCCGATATCAAAGTAATCCTGGAATGGATCACTGGAAAGCTGCAAAGAAAGTGATGAGATACCTTCAAGGGACGAAGGATCATATGCTCACGTTTAGGAAATCTGATCGCCTTGAGGTGATTGGATATTCAGATTCAGATTTTGCTGGGTGCCTTGACAGTCGCAAGTCAACGTTTGGCTATGTGTTTCTCCTCGCCGAAGGAGCAATATCATGGAAAAGTGCCAAACAGTCTGTCATAGCTGCATCTACTATGGAGGCTGAATTTGTAGCTTGTTTTGAGGCTACGATTCACGCATTATGGCTGCGGAACTTTATTTCGGGACTTGGGGTTGTCGACACCATTACCAAGCCGCTGAAACTGTATTGTGATAATTCCGCAGCAGTTTTCTTCTCCAAGAACGACAAATATTCCAAAGGTGCAAAACACATGGAATTAAAGTATTTTGCCGTTAAGGAGGAAGTTCAGAAACAAAGAGTGTGCATTGAACATATAAGAACGGACCTTATGATTGCTGATCCGTTAACTAAAGGTCTACAACCAAAGACATTTAACGAACATGTACATAGAATGGGTCTTGGTTGTATTGATGATTGATTATGATGATGTTATGGCACACTTTTGAGCTCATTGATGTTATGTTTCTGACTATTATCGAATTTCTCGTTCATTATGATTTTGTATACATTATGTTTAGAACAAGAAATGAATGTCTTCATGACAATTAAGTGGACATTATGATATTTATATATAATTATGAAACTTGGTGTGTTAAACTGTTAGTGTAGTAGTATATGGAAGGAAGTATGCAAATCGAGAGTGTACAACCGCCATAACTCTCACTCTATGGTTTATCATGTCATAGTTTATTATGATGTATGGCATAATGAGATTTGTTTATGCGCACCTAATGTTATACTATTAAAATATGGGCTTTCGGACCAAGTGGGAGAATGTAAGAATATGTGGCCCGAAAGCATTGGGCTCACATTTAATTATCCTATTGGGCTAGGCCTTTAATTAATAGTCAAACAAATCTAAGCCATTAATCTGGATATTTGATGGACGTACCAGATCTAAAGCACCCCTATATAAATTAGTCCTCTCTCCTCCTATTAGGGTACGCAGTTATTATCCCATCACTTTTCTGCTACGTTAAGGAATCGGTCAGGAGGGAGAAAACTAGTTTAGATCTAACGATCAATTCAACCTCGTGTGATCATCAAAATCAAGATCACAAATTATGTCGTCTTCCGCATCAAGTAAGTGTTTCGTATACACCAAATTATTTATTCAAGATCCTATGATGAAGCTTACATGTTCGAGAAGCCAAACTATATCAAAACTTTCTGGAACAATACCTTCAAATCGCTCCCTGAATAACTCTCGGTGGCCTTTGCCAGTTGTTCATACGAAAACCCGTTTTCCAGCTCCTCTATTGCAAGAATCACCTTCAGTATCTTCAACCGGACATCCACGTCTGGTAGGTCCACATAAATCCTAGTAGCAAAACCAACAAAAAATAGAGTTTCTTGTTACTGTTGAGATTGTGGATTGTTTTGGTTTCAAGACTTAGATCTTTTTTTCTTTATATATATATTTTATACCTTCTGGGCATTCGGCGAATAACAGCATCATCTAGATCAAACGGTCTATTTGTAGCACCAATAACAAGGATTCTCTCGTTGTCTTTTGACGTTAAACCATCCCAACATGCCATAAATTCATTCCTCAGCCTTCGTGTAGCTTCGTGCTCGCTATTTCCACCACGGGCACCGAGTAAAGCATCGATCTGCAAGTTACATTCGTCACATGATATAACTAACCAGTTTTGTAGCAATATTGGCCTTTCAAACCGAGTGCCTCGAGTCAAATTTAAAACAGCGACATTTAAATTTAATCCATATATAGAGCCATATCCACAAGTAGGACTCTACCTCATCAACAAAAATAATTACTGGGGCCAACTTTCGGGCGAACGAGAAAAGCCCCCTTGTAAGATTTTCTTCATCCCCATACCACTGCACAAATATAAACATACATAAAATGAATTTACTTAGCTAGCAAATGATCGGCTAAGTAAAAAGCAAAAGCTGTACTGGTTCAAATACTCTTATCGATGGTCATTACTTTGGAAATTTTCACTTACCATAGACGTGAGGGATGAAGGAGTAATATTGATGAAATTAGCCCCTGATTCTGTAGCAAGAGCCTTGGCCATTAGCGTTTTCCCAGTTCCAGGCGGCCCAAAAAGTAGTAACCCTTTGCAAGGCTGAAAGATAACGTGTTAACACATTTTAAAAATCGCAAAGATAATCGAATATTTTGTTTCTTGGTGCAAAAGTCCTTGAGGCTCACTCACCCGAAGCAAATTTCCACGCGAAAATAGCTCGGGTCTTTTCAGTGGGAGAATGAAGATTTCATGAAGTGCCTTCTTCACGTGCTCGAGAGCACCAACATCATCAAACTTGACGCCAATCTCTTCGGCACAAATTACTGAGGGAACAAAAGTCATCTCATAATCATCACTCGCTAGATCCTGCCACCACCAAAAGATTCCTCTTCAGAGAAGGACAATACTTAAAGAATGTGCCCATGTAAATGGTAAGAGAAAAAGAGAACCTTGGGAGACTTTGAAGGCTCCTTCTTCAACTCTGTTTCCAGCTCCTTTAACCTCATGACAGCAAGTTCAACGCTGTAAAATATTCAAAACCGGTTGTTAATCGGGTGTGTTTTGCAATATTTAACATTTTTTTTCCCTTAAACTGTAAAGATTTTACCTTTCTTGGGGCACCTCGTTAAAAGAAGGAAGGTCACACGAGAAGAGGTAATGATTTGTGGCCCAGCCAATAATCTTCTCAGCTTCTGTCCGAAAAAAAAATGATAAAAAATATTAGTTGTTCTAAAAATATATTCTATTTCCAAGTGTGAAGTGTGGCAAAAATAAGAATTCATACTCTGTTTATTCAGATTCAAACCGTCAGTGTTTACACGATCCACACCATTGCATTTCAGACCGTACTCCTTGAGAACCTGAAACGAGCACCCACACGTTAAAAGAATAAAATCGAGAATGGAGATAAAACTACAAGAAAGAAACTTATTGATTCACCGTACCTTTCGCATTTCACTTAAGTTGTTTCGAGATGTCAATATTTTCCAATCTTCATGTATCTGTTCACAGAATGTTTTCAGGATATTGTCTTCCTGCAATCACGAACGAGAACGTGTATTTTGATTCATACAGATTGACTGAATCAGCGTATAGTGGTACTAAAGACACTTAAATAACTGCAACATATATAGTGGTAAATGAAAATGCAAGAATCGTTTTTCAAATGAACAAACAACACACTTGAGCTTCTTACAAAATTATGTGATCAAAACTCAAAAGGGCAATTACGTACCGTAGGGACGCCTATAGGCACAGCATTAGGGAATATCATCTTTGTTTCTTCCAGCTGAGTATAATTAGTTACTTCTGGCTCGTTTATGAGTTTCCTCAACTGATGATGGAATACGAAAAGAAAAAGAAGCATCGGTGTATAATTAGTTATTGTTGTCATCCCAAAGTAAATTGACAAGTGAATAAAAAAAAAAGGAGAAGAATGTTACAAAATTGCAAAGCAAACAAAGAAAGCTACCAAAACAAGCAAAATGGAAGTAGAATAAATAGAAAAGTGTGCTTCCGTTAGCTCAATTTGGAGGGATCATTTCCTATGTGATTAAAACACAC